CACGCTACCCTTTCTAAAAGTGCCAAGACCATCGCCCACACCTACATCGCTGATGACATTTGGATGGGCTTGTTGATTATCGTCGGTGTACCATGATCCTTGCGAGACAGGAGTTAGCCGGTACTGGAAACTGCTTATGCGGTCCAGTCTCCAGTCTCCGGTAGTATTCTAGCCTAACTACCATACATAGTACATATTACATATGTAAATAGGGCTTGGTTTGAACTTGCCGGGGAGAGCTGGGAGTGCCACTGGGGGTCTACCGCGTACATATGTACGTATTCGTCCGAAGACCCATCTTCATGGTTCGAACCAACGATTGACACTTCGTCGGTGGTCTGACAAGGCGGGTCTCCTTTACTAGCGTTGGGCTACCGTGCTTAACCCTGTTGACCCTACAGAGTACATTACATAGGTTAACGAATTGACACGAGTCCAAGGTCCAAAAACAACCATTTCCACGGACTATTCTCCGAGTTATTAAATACACCCTGTACTTATTATCATGTACGTCAGATAGAGAGCTAGACCGCATGATATAAACAACAATGACAAGCGCTTCAGTACATACCTAAGGTAAGCAATCTCTCCTCTGGCTTACTGACTTTGCATAACCGGGTTACATTCGAATATTACGTTGTAGGTACATAGTACAGTAAGAAATTTACAAATACCTAAGTGATTATACATTTCCTTTGCATACTAATGTATAAGATACTGTATGTAAAACATAGCGAACACGGTGTTATTATTATGTATTGTTGTTGTTGTTGTTGTTGTTATTGTCACATTGTAATACCGAGGACTCGGCCCAGTATCCACTTATACAACATGGGAGAAAATACCCGCCGCGAGAGTCTTCCCGACAGCGCTGTCACCGGCGCCAATTAGAGGGAAAACCAACGCAGTTTGACAGTCTTGTTCCTTGCAAACCGGCTAAGGGTCAGCCAAGTACCGGGCTAAGGTAACGCAACAGGTCAGTAACCGCATGTTTGGGTCTGTAAGTACCTAACGGTTAGTTCTCTGTTTCCTGTTCTAGAACAGCGGCACTAAAGCGCGCACTGAGACATACTCCACCGGAGAGACATGGAATGAAAACAAAAAACAAGTTGTTCCAAAGCCGAAGCCCGTTAAAAAGCATATTAAGAGGTGACGCAGCTAGGCAAGGGAAGAATACATGGGGAAGATACTGTTTACCCCTTCTGTTTGGTTCATTAGCCACAGGGGCCTTCATCATCGGGTATGAGTCCTCGGAAAAGAAATTCTCGATGGCAAGATGAGGGGATAATCAAAGTATTACTACCTAGGTAAGTACAGATTATCTACCCAATACATATATACATCCTTTTGACACAGCCTAGTAGGGATCTTGGATATATGCACAAAATAAGTATAAAAAGCGTGTGGTGCAGATCTTGAAGTCATATGTAGACACTGGCCGTAAGAATTTGACCCTTGTATGAACGTAAACATATCTGCTATGGCTGGCACCGGTTTAGTGTCAAGAGAGTCGAAACGCACCATCTGCTCGAAGAAGTTGCACGTGGGCTATCTAGAGCCATCAAGATCATCGTGGTCATGATAATATGCAGCCAAGCGTTGGTCATCCCCACGAACCCACGAATGAGGGCCGAAATTAAAGCCAGCATTAAAGCCAGCGAACCCTTCTAGAAGCTAAAGTGGAGTTGATAGAGCCATGGTTACAAGGATTCGCGGCAGTTTCAGCCACTTACTTACATGATAAGCACCCAGTTACCACCATATGGGTATGTAGGCATTTAAAATTTAATAAAGAAAGTAAACGACTCGATATCAAGTATCGAGAAAAGATTATTAAAATAAAGATTTTCTTTTGTTAGGCGTAAATGTCGTACACTTTTCTCTTTAATAATATAATGAATACTATATATGATTTTATCGTAGTTATATAGGTGTCGTTATTTTAGAAATCTTATTCAAGACTTGTTAAGCGCCCATAAATCATCATTTACCAAGAATGAACTTGGTTATCTTATCTTTGGTAATGATTTTAACATGGAGGATTTCAACCCCAAGTATCTTCTACTGCACCTAATATGAGCCACGTGGTTTAGCTTGTCCAGTTTATCCTTTAAGCTCGATCGAGACTTAAGAATAAAGGTTGAAGGATTCGTTCCAAATTGATACGCGAGGGACTAAAGTAAAATATACACTTAGATTTGAACACGAGGTCGTGCTGTTGTAAAATGATGTGCTAGATGTCGCCATACGTACGAGCATTAACATCCACGATCATCATTTCCAGTGGATACTGAAGAAGGCAAGGAGCTGACAAGACCAGGGCAAATTTTCAACCAATAAAGGCCGACCCAGTACAGCGTCCCGGGTCACATTTAAGTTAGATGAATCCACACTGTTGGAAGCAATTACACAATTACACGTTAAACGACAGAGTGATCATAGCAAGGGGTATAAGTTTATAAATAAGTAATATTTTATTTATTACGCGAATAAATCTATATGAGTATGTATATAATGTAGGTATATACATATGTATTTGATAATGATGTGACCATCGATTCCATCATACATTTGGCTAGCGATATGTAATTACCTTACGTAGTGTAAATGACACCGTCTTTTAGGTGCTACTTTTAAACTAAAAGGATCCGTGGGAGCGGCGCGGCTCGAACCGTTCCATTGCAAAGGTACATCAATCATAGTCACATGCATATCAAAAATTTACATAGTATAATAGAATAGAAATAATCCGTCTAGGATTAAAGCTTCATCTCCTTTTTCTTTTTTTCAATGTTGATTAATAACATGATACGATCCGTAAAGAGGGCGGTTTGAATATCATTAACTAGCAGGAAATGGAAAAATACTACTTTTACGTTTAACTCAACCCATGGCTCCCTGTCTTCTAAGATCATCAAAGTACATAGCTTAACAAGACCCCACAGTCGTGCCTCATACTTACATTAGAAATTTCGTACTGGCTACCCATAAACATTAAAAAATGGTACAGATGCTATCATAGCATGGTTTCTCCGCCACGTCGAAGCGGGTTAACTTGCCTATTAGGTCGATAACTAGTAACTACCAATACGCCTTCTTAAAAGGATGTTGGCTACGGGAAGCGCACGGAGCTAAAAGTACGTAAAGCATGTTGCCGATAAAGGTTTATGGCGATTAAACCATTCAATCTTGAAATATTTTCTAACAAGTGACAGAACAAAGATATTGGGATCACGCAAATTTCCGAGATAAGATCTTCCAATACGCTGCGCTTCTAGAAGCAACATTAATGAGCTTCTCGAAGAAGTTAAATTAGTGGCTTGACGCTATTTCTGATAGCAAACTTCCAGGTGGTCCCAAATTGTTCGAGGCATCCCACTGAAAATATGCATGGGAAGCACGGTACGCCTGTTAGTCAATGTCCTAGGCACCCTGAAGGGAGTGCCCGACATACATGTGATTCTCGAATAGACAATAGGTATACTTTCAAGATAAGAAATCAGTCTAGTAGCAGAGGTTTGTATTCCTATGCTAGAGGAGCTTATCCTGCCTGCCCAACCCGCCAAGGGTTAATAAGCCCAAAGGAAACGGGACAGCAAGACGAAATTTCATTGGTGAAAGCAAGATTAATATGTGCTATTATATTATGGCCAAGTTTCAGGTTTATGTCAAATGACCAGTGGGTGGGTGTTTTCGTGGTTTATTTCATTATTTCATGGCTTATTATCTCGCTTCTATAGATTCACCTTAAGAGTCCTGCTCACTTAGATTGGAAAACAGTATACTTGTCCCTTTAATGTAATAGAGTGGCCCACAGCTATCGTAAGAAGACCTCCAGTATATTCAAAATGAGATTTTAGGTAAACTTGCAGCTCGGGTCAATCGAAGACTCTCAAGATCTATGAAGTGAAAATAGGGGTAGAGGCTAATTCTTTAACATCACAGGATACGCCTCTTAATAGAGTAGGGAGGGTAGCGCATGATGAAGAATAAGCCTCTGATAGGTCAGAGGTGAAACGCTTATATAGAATAATATTATATCACCCAAGATATCAGAGGACGCCGGTGACGGACAAACCTTGGTTGCTTAAGTATAATAACCCATGCGCACAACTAGGAGCTTCCTCATTAAAAGCCATAGGTGTCGGCTTCGGATATCTCTCCGTGATTTGGCACTTTGCTTGACAAATCGTGTCATGCTACTTGTCTTACTAATTGATACTTGAGAGGTCAACTGCTAGCTACCTCTCTAGACTGCTATACCGCCTTTGTTTGCAAAAGCTTAATATAGGTATGTACCTAGGTATATACCTGTCCTGCTAAAGGGGATTTCATATTAAGTCGCCGGCGATGAAATCATGGCTAAGGATGGGGCCAAAAATCTTTCTCTTCTAGCTGCTACGTTAAGGGGGCGAACAAAAGCGATCGTGATGATGAGCTTCGGTGTTAGCCGTAGGTGTTACTATTGCTGGTATCAGTTATTATATATATTTAGGTTTACTGAGGCCTTCATGAACGTGTGAGACCCATTATCATTAGGCAGTATTTCTTTTTTGTGGTCGGTTTTAGATGACATCCCTTACTAAGGGGTAACATGAGTATCGTCGTATGTTGATGTATTCGGTGACTATTTCATAAAATTATGTATTAGTCTTTGGGAGTAGCGCATAAAATATATGCACATCCATTTATGCATAGAATCCAAGCCCACCTTAAGCCACCTTGAGCCACAATTGTAATACGAGTAATTTTCTTAACCTTCCATTGTACCTACAAGTTCACGGCGAAGCCACTTACAATTATATATACTTCGCACACTCTAATCTTATTACCTTCTAACAACCTAGTTTTATCAACGGTATTTGAAAGGTGCTTAATGAATATCAAATATATATACTCATAGTATTCGCGCGCAAAAAAGCACGTGAAAATTATATACTCGGGTGCCTACCTATATACGGTATACACACTTAACCACATATTCATATCTCGCAAGTGAGATGGCCACGATATCAGAACGCTACGATGCGCTACTTCGGTGGGTAGAGAGTGATGGTGGATATCTTAATCCCGCCATTGAAATATACCACGATGAGGTCACCAAAGGGTCTTTCCGTGTGAAAGAATCATGCTCGACTGGAGTGGACGATGTCATGGTTACTCTTCCGCTTTCTAAGTCCCTCTCCTATCTCGATGCTATTCGTGGTCACCCGGCTTTCGCTTCTCCATCAAACTCAGATGCCCTGGATGGCGAGAGTAGAGACTATTTCCCAGAAGGATTCTTGAAAGAAACGCCACCTCATGTCGTCGGCCGTTTTTTCCTCATGCAGCAATACCTTCTAGGACCCGAGTCCAACTGGTGGCCGTATATCCGAACCTTACCTCAACTCGAACATATGAGTAACATCCTCCCGGTAATGTGGCCATCAGACGATGTCGAGTTTCTCAATGGGACCAATGCTTCTGCGGCTATTCAGGATATCAAGTCAACCCTCAAAAAGGAGCACAAGAACGCCTTGAAGTTACTCCCGCAGAAGTACCATCTGGAGTATACTCGACCGTTGTATCACTGGGCCTATAGTATCTTCACTAGCCGTAGTTTTCGACCGTCACTTATTTTCCCCGCCGAAGCTTCGGTAGGGTTGCCATGCGAGTTAGATGACTTCTCGGTGTTGCTTCCGCTGTACGACATCGGAAACCACTCGCCACTAGCAAAGATTGCTTGGACCACCGATGAACAGACTAAAATGTGCATGCTTAAGTCAAGGCAGACATATTCAGCCGGTGAACAAGTATTCAACAACTACGGTATGAAAACTAATGCCGAGCTACTTTTGGGGTATGGCTTCATACTCCCAGAAAATGATGACCTCCACAACGACTATGTCCATATCAAGACCAGGGCGGACCCAGAGGCTGGCGATTTGGCGGCTTCGCATGTTGTGTCATTGAGGCCTATGGCTCATCGTAGTTCATTCGTCGGGCGGTCGAAACTCTTGAGCGCAGATTCCTTGAGCTGTCTCCCTTGTTTTTCACACATTCAAGATACCCTCATCGCTGCTCTATACGAAAGTATCACGAAAGGGGGAGATGAAACGAACGATACCAGCTTGAATAAGATCGTACGGGGCGATATTCAGAACGAAGTGCTTAGAAAGATTGTCGATACCTTAGGGGCAAAACTGAGTATGGATCTGGAGGAGATAGAAGTGAACGAACCGGAGTACGAGGCTATCAATAGTAATCAGCAACTCGCTATGATTTATCGTGAGCAATGTCAGAAGGTATTGGAGAACGCTCTCCGCAGCCTCTTAACGGCGGACTGTTGAGCTATCGGATGCATGCACGTTAGCATACAGGATTTATGACCAATACGGTTGATTAATCGATCAATTCATTCTCAAACTCCGCACTAGGGGTATCAAAATGCAATCTGCCGCCGACGCCTAATCATACCGGAGCACACTACTTTATTTTTCAGGCCCAAGCCGCTCTTGGCAACTAGATGACATACTCTTTCTGCCATGACATACTCTTCTGGCGCTCCTTTCCTAGTAAGTGTCAAGTTAATGACTGCGCCTGCTCCCGGCGTTCGGCTTCCACTCTCCAAATGCTCCCCCTGTTTCGTCGGGCAGAAAAGATATATTCTCATTGAGAAGGTTCAGACATGCCTTGGAAGCTGGCGTATGAGTCAGCAGCATATTCAAGAGCTACGTTATAGATCTCTTAAATAGTTAGAGGAGAGTACTTACGCAATAGCAAGCTGACGTCCCCCGAGCTAAGTGCTGCGCTCATCCTAGCTGAATTATAGCAGCCGTAAATTTGCTGAAGCGCAAGCATCCGTTCCCATAGTCTTTCAGGGTCGCCTTCTGTGCCTTCTTCTAAGGCCTTGAGGGATTCTCGTCTTCTACTCCTGGATGCGTGCGTGCTGTCCGATGAACACTCAGAACAAGGTGACGGAGATCTTGACTCTTGGAACTTGTTGATCGAGTTGATGATTCCGGATTCATTAATTGCTTTAGGACCGCTACGCGTAAGGGGACATGGTGTGATAGCATCGATGTCATCGATAATGGCCGATTGGCCCGACTCTCTCGAAGCTTGAGGCATATCGTGTACAGCTTGCTAGAATTTACCAGCCTAGGAGTGGTGCGCAACGCTTGTATCTCTTCTGATCTTGTTCGGTCATCGATGGAAAGACCACGGCGGTTTCTGGTATCTGAACTGATAGGGCGTCGTTTAGATTAGCGAAAGTAAGAGAATAATCCCGCTAGTTCGGTATTTATAAAAATTTGGTTTGTATTTATTATAGGAATAAGATTATGGTAACATTTACATATCTAAAATTGTAGGTGGATTCTCACCGGCAGAGTGTGGAGCTACAGACTCACATATATATAGGTACCTATATATATACACATCAGCTAAGGTAGTATTGAGCTATATGAGAAAGCCGAACCGGGTTGGTACACATGCTTCACTCTCGAAAGTGTTTTTGCATGGGAGAGGGTGATGTGATGATGAAACCTGCATCCTCTCCAATCACAACCATCCGGGCCACAGTCGTCAACCCCTGCTGCGGTTGCGTTAGCGTGCAGCTCTCGCACATACTGCACATACTGCAAATACTACCGCTGAGTCAAGAAAGTTTATATGTAGTACCATAGTAGGTAGGTCGAGAAGCCGGATGTCTCCAGGGACCGATGAACGCCTGACCGTAATGCCCTGAACTGGGTCGATGGCGACACGCGTCAGGCTACCGGATCTGGAGGACGTACAGCATGACTTAGGGATTATCACATAGGAGTCATTATCTATTTATCTGCATGGCGTTCGTTCATATAGTATCTTACCGGTGGGCTTTGATATAGAGTGTCGGCTGCGTATGTATATAAGGTACAGCTGATAAGGTATGTATATACGGCAACCCACCCCGCGTCATACGATACACCCAATTGGACACAAGCTTTTTCTTTCTTCTTGTCTTAATCTGAGTATCTGGGTCTTAACGATGTTCATATGCGTCTTGTCCCGCAAGATCTACCTTGGGGCTAAGACTTTTTAACTACCTAGAAGAAGGGTGGCCTGCATCATCGCAGATCTCCAACTACCGGCTGATGCATTTCCGTTATGCCCCCCCATTATCGAACCCCGTACATATTAGCTATCCCGGTATCGGCTGCGATACCATTATATGAGATGACTGAGAGCCTCGTGATCGGACGAAGCTATACCTTTACCAATCTAGTTCCTAAATGAAGGTAGTTTTTTTCAGAGGTTTTTTTTTTTTTTTAATGCTACGAAAACTATGATATATGTAAGAGGTACCTATACTAGAAAATGATAGCATGTAGATTAAGAAGGATGGGAAAAAAAGGATTTTTCACATAGAGGCTTGTAGCACGAACTTCGGCAAACGTCTGATTAGACTAATACGCAGAGTCTATCGACCACGCGGCTGGAGGAAAACGAGCGGCATTGATTAGGGTTTAGACGATCACTTCCTCCCCTAGAATGATCGTGAATGGTCTTACTACTGAGATATATAGCGTGGCGCTACCATCGCGTATTATTGCAACAAGGTTATCTGGGTAGACCAACCGCACCGCTGTGTTGGTAGAATGCATCATGTCAATCACGTAGCCATCGTTAGTATCATTAGTGCGGGGGGTTACACGCCCAAGGACAGGGATTCAGTTCGGTGATCGTACGTACCTAAGGCGACTTTCTCTCGATACTCCATTATCATCACCATCAATGTCCATGTCTCTACCTTATAGCATAGGTTTTGCACGTACGATGTCAGACGAGAGAGTTGTGGAACTTCTGGAACGATTTATATCACACAGTAGTTCGTAATAGAATCTCCGGAGTATTGCGAGACCCGTAGATGAAATCACGATCATCTGGAGAAGTTGACGGCTCGCCCGCTTACCGCCATTTTCCCATTCACCCCGACTGCAGACATACCCATACGTACATGCATTTTCTCTTATCAATCGGTAGCGAGAGGGGATCGCATCACGAGCTATTGATTTTACTCCTCCGGCCCAGCTTCTAATAAATGACGGGAAGGATTATGTCCTTGAAAGTTAACACTTATGCTTCTGCTCCTCTACGATATTTAACTATCTTATATTTTTCATATTTATTTCCATATAGGGACAATAAAATACAAGAGATTCCCATGGGGATAGTAGGCAGAAACTAATAAAGTGTACAGGTCTGGAGTGCCCAACCCCGCCACTGACATTGAAGACTTAAATCCGCACTTCAATCCTCTATTGGGTAGGGAGCTCGTTCAAAGTCTTTATACGGATATCAAAATACGCATTATCGGATAACCCATCGTAGACTAGCCCCTCTATATGGAATACATACCTAGGTTGCCCTGGGTCAATTAGGCTGCACAGGGAAAGACAAACCCCGGGGGTTGAGCTGGCTTGCATATGATCGACATCTGGAGAGACCTTGCCCCGGACTTTAGCGAACCAACAACAATAATTATCAAGGTCTAGGCAGCGGTTATACGGCTTACTACTACACCATGTTCCGTTGGGGAAGAATGGGTGATCTGCGACTCGCATTCTAAGCTCGATTTGCACATGGTGGCGTGTTTAGACAAATACTAAGAATTTAGATGCCGTCTTTGCCAAGTCGGACCTCAACTACCATATGATGATCGCCGTAACACCGGAGCGGAGGTGGAAGCCACTTTATCTACCGCCGACCCTTTCTCTCCGAGCGGATGTTGATCATATATGTGACAACTGTATCTCGGATAAGTTCTTCGTTTATCCCCTTTCTTAATATTGGGGGGACATGTTGTACGTAGTACTTTGGCCAACAACTTGGAGTGTTATCAAACACCTCTAGCACCATATTTTTAATGCTACCAATATCTTAGCTTGAACGACAAAGATGGTAGTAGTATTGCCACCGAAATGCCAATACCGAACCGGGAGACTTCTTGAAGAGGGGCATAAAATATCGTTTGTATTAAGTATGATAGAGAATAAATATATCATATCACTTTCCCATGCGAACAGCAATACGGCTTTATTCCTTAGGCTGTGTCAACTCATCTACATGATATCGCCCCGTCGCGCTTCTGGTGAATGTCGATTTTCAAGATTGTGGGATACGCTAAGTGACGGATATATGACGCGTTATACCACCACTAGGCGAGTTATAATTGGTTTACTACTTCTTTTCATTTACTATGAAATGCTTTCCTCGAACGAATTCTTCGATGATGTAGTTGTGCGCTCACAAAGCTACGCCACTAGTTTGGGCCATCATCACTGTGATACTTGATCCTAGACCAATACTTGCAGGATACAATTTGTGTGTGCCTTGTTTGCGTATATTCAGGGCGTTCTATCCACCCTGTTTGGTGTAATTTATTTCCCTTCAAATTTTCCTGTGTGCGGTATTAATCGTACTCCCGGCCGTAAATATCGAGTATGCCTGCGAGGTAGAATTCCCTACTATTTAACTTGGTGGTAGCTTCGACGCTGCGCTCAAGGTTCGAGTGATCGATTAAGTTAAATATAGAAGCTCCGGGGGCAATGATGATACGCCCGAGACAGGCGTTGTCCCTGGTCGGACTTTTCCTCAGCGGTAGTTTCTTGTTGATACTATTTTTCTACGCAAATTCTGGACGTGAATTTATAAAGCCTATCGATGTCTACCTAGGAAAACCGACGGAAGCTGCACCTACTCCACGATATAAACCAGCTCCCTCCTATACGCCGCCTCCCATACAAGACCCATTTCCAGCGTTAGCGACTTCGAACCCACCCCCTATCCCGACATACAATATTGCCGAGAAGGATGTATGGGTTAAGTATGGGCTGGAAATCGCACCGCCATTAGTGATTGGGTTCACTCGATCCTGGCCCATGCTGCTCCAAGCTGTAGTGTCTTATATTGCAGCGGGCTGGCCAGCAGAGCAGATATATGTGGTCGAGAATACCGGTATGCAACAGGCCAACGCGCGTGGCCAGCTTGGTCTCCAGCACCCGTGGTACCTTAACCACGCGTCTTTAAAGCGCCTCGGTGTAAATATCGTACAGACGCCGGTATTGTTGAGCTTCGCGCAGCTGCAGAACTTCTACCTTTCGCTATCCTATACCAACAACTGGCCGTATTATTTCTGGAGCCATATGGACGTCCTCGCACTAGGGCACGAGAACGGGTTCGAAGGCCTCACGCCGCGTGCGGGTGATCCGGGCTACAAAAGTCTATATACCTTGTGTCTTGAGGAGCTTAATCGCACACTGGAGACAGATGATAGGTGGGGGTTACGATTTTTTGCGTACGACCATCTTACGCTACAGAACCCGAAGGCGATTGAAGATATTGGCGGCTGGGATACTTTAATCCCGTACTACATGACGGATTGTGACACTTACACCCGTCTACACATGAGAAATTGGACACAAAAAGACGCCAATTGTGGAGTTATAACTGATACGTCCGTCGCGCTCGACAATCTCCTCGCTCTATATCGAGATCCGAATATAACGCCCAGCTTCCGTGACCCAAATCCCCCGCCGCCCGCAGAAGAAGACAATAAACAGGAAAGGGACACGGGAATTGTTCCTCGAGATCCCGCCGACTCTTTGGAATACTGGAAGGTATTGCTAGGTGTTGCTGATCGCATGTTCCACTATAAGCATGGCGGTCGTGGGCGCAATACATGGCAGTCGGGCCAGCATGGCGGCCAAGGCGAACCTTTTTACTACGACTCCGCGGGATTTTCAGAGGCTCTAGAAGTGCTGACAGAGGCGGGAAAGGAAGTATTTCGACGGAAATGGGGACACTCAAACTGTGACCTAATAGGGGGAGGTGGACTGAAGTTTGAGGACCAATGGCAGGTATTACAGGACTGGTAAAATCGAAGGGAAAACCACCTATTCTATTCCTGAGCGGTTAACGGTATATTTGATAGAGATATATAATTAGAAGGTTTGCTATTTTTTACCCCCATCTCTAATACATTAGATTCTCGTAGCATATCATGACACGCACCATTTCGTGACGCGCACTTTCCGGATAGATTTGTTCGATCATCGTCTATAAATTCTCTACTCAGGGCCCTGTCTATGACGAGTAGATTTAATGCATTTATCATCTCGCTCCAAGCCTAGCTGAAAACTAGCACTGAGACTCATAAGGGTAGAAATGACGATAAGGGCGTGGGTGAGAAGCCCTGTAGAAAGAGTATAGAGCATGGCATAATGAGATAAGACAGACTTGATGATGGAGGTACCTGGCCTAGCGCCTGAATAGAATCTAGAAAGCTTCCTACAGGATAATACGGGGTTATCCACCCCCCCAGTTTCCGCCGCCAGAAAATTCTCCCCTTTTACCTAGTTTTTAATAGAGGGATCCTATATTTACACCACTTCTTGAATGTATGTAGTACTCTTCGCAATTCGAGGTATCAGCGATAATAGTGTAAATTATAAGTATTCAAAATATGATAGTGTACATTTTGGGGTTTCTTGAAAGGGGTTGAACCCGAACTCATAGAAAATACTTATCTTTTGCTGAGCAGTCATTTAGTCGTTGGAAAATTAAACCATTAGTATCAGAGGATTGATCTATACAATACTTCAAGTATTCGGGCGTAATTCGTGTTGTGTAGTTAAGGAAGGACAAGAAAATGATCATCCTATCAAACTGGCTTGTCTCGAGACATCGACGTCTTCCGAGCTAGCACAACGGCCTTTAATTGGTTCGTAGTATATGATCGCCTATACCCCGTGTCTCGTCCCAGCGTTCCACTTGCGGTAAGTCAGATGGTAGCGACGAACCGCAATGCAGACTAAGTATTGTCGCCGTCTACTCTACACCATATGCTGGTAATTGCTAACAATAAGTTACCAATGACCGTAATGATATCCAAAAGGGAAGTCGTATAGAGAAAGCAAAGCAATAATTACCGTTTCCAAAAATTGTATAAAATATAGCAACTTGTACTTATTATGAGAAACCGTAACTATAGAAAATCCGTGTTATTTACGTCGGCTGACTCTGAGTAACATACAGATGATTAGCTACATATATAGCTCTACTTTTTCTAACATAGATTTCGTGTATATGATCAACAATGACCGTTTCCATCTCAGTGTTGTATTACAAACATGCAGTGATACATCTTCTCTTATTAAGAATGACTGCTCGAGATATGCTCTAGTTAAGTGTTATATTGGGAATACTAGATTATAGATGAAGGCATAGAGTAGAATACCCCATAAAGATAACAGCAGCTATCATGTTGTCTAACTAATTGAATTTAGACTGAGTGTATTATTGCTCTTCAAATATACCTCAAACGCTATGACGGCCTCGGCCGATAAGCTAAACTCTTGGGAGCATATGCAGTGTCCTCCATCTCAAGCAGTCGACCAGATCCGGATGTTGCTCAAGCAAATCACCGGCAATAATTATGCTTGCGTCTCTCGGCACCGGAGACACCTCAAGTTACCCCGTATCCTCGTCGTGTCAATTTCGTAGTCTTGGCAATGCAGAAAAAATAAAGCAGGGTGATGATGATAAACGCCTAGCCAATGCAGAAATTTCCAATGCTCCCCCGGGCAATAGAATGAATTCGGAATGGCCTGTCTAATACTGGTCTATATCCCATTGTATCTTCGTGAAGTTGTTATAGTTGAAGCTCAAGGCACGCTAATGTAGCCGTATATCTAATGCGATTATAGATAGTTGGATTCGATCCGGAATATGAATCGATCGAATCGGTATAATTCGTAACGCGCGCGTTAAATCTGTTAAATCTACACCTGCCCATGTAGTCATGCAAATGTTGTGTTGGGTATCATGGAAAAGGAATGAGAACCGCTCGGGACTCCACGTCCCGAATTTCATTCATCGCTTCGTTCATCGGTAATTTAGTGTTTATTTTGCTCGTGGCTACTGGATGTAGTCGTCGAACTTAGATGATGACGGTGGTGATTGTGATGATTATGGTGATGCGTATGTGAATTGTGTTGTCGGACCTGAGTCGCCGATGTAAGTATGTCTTATTCTACCACGAATCTTAAGGTGAAACTCACTCTTTGACGACCCCGTCGTTCTTCTTCGGCTGGACTACTAACCGACTTCCTCTCTTCCTCATACCAAGCACTCAGGCTTTTACCGCTGAACATCAAATCTTCGTCGTCTATTACTATTGGTTCCATCCACCCTTGTTTTTGCAACTCTGCCTCTCGCGTGTTTGTGTCCGGCAGGTAGTAATGCAGAGTTTCATCGCCGTGGTGATGCGACGTCGTTGAAGTAGTAGTAACCATCTTGAGAGGGGATGGGTTATGCGCCTGAGAGTTCGTGGGATTTTGCGATGATTTATTATGAGAAGATGGGCGCGGCGAACGCGGTTGTTGATGTGGTGATTTGTGATTACGTTGAGATGTCGTTCTACTTCGTGGTTTTCCGTTGTCGTCAGATACACACGAATTACGTCGCGACATGAGCAATGAAAACTTCACGCGGGATTGTGAAATGTTGCTCGGGGCGCGTAGTAGATGCGTGATGAGCGGCTGTAATATAAATATGGAATAGTATATATTCTTCGGTATAATGTCGCGTATTGACGTTGTTTATTGTAAGTAAAGATAGGCTGCGCCAGGCTACCTTTTGTGTATCTAATCCCAACGCCGTTCCAAGGGTGGAAAGTCGAATCTATGACTATTGGAAGGGAAGAGAGGTGGGTATGGGGACAAGAATAGAATCGGGAGGAAGTAGTAATAATATATAACACGCATCAAGGGGTCCGGAGCTAGCAGGACGAGGTTTCAAGCCCGTAATAATAAGAATTGTTGGGTGGCTGGCTAAGGAAAAAAGGAGAAGAAACGGTACCACCGAGGCGGGGATTTCCGGAATAGGAAATCCAATACGGTATAAACGGTTAAATATGTCACCTTGTGATACGGTGACTAGACGGGATGGTTCCTTGATATATCGTTTCGTTTGAGTCTTTTGCTGGTTATTTTCGACAAGTCTACCTCTAATTGATAACACGAAGGCACTATAGCCGTATACAAATATATATATATATATAAAGAATTAGATCTTTTAGATATGTAGTAACTATGTGGAATCTATTGCTTATTATGTATTCGAGCCACCCAAGAGCCAAGAGTTGGTGGCCAGGAACCCGAACAAACCCGAGTAATTTTTAGGAAAAGAAGCTATTTAGTTGTTTAGGGGGGAGGGGGCGTGTATACTTCAATGTTTCAATGTGATGTATTTTGCCTCTTGGGCCCAGGAGTCTTGTGGGGTTTAAGATGTAAGCGACCGAAATGAAGGTAAAATGCTCGGTCCCGCGGAGAAGAGACCCACAACAACGCATGGTTAATGCTCGATACATGGACGAATACTCCCGGCCTGAAGACCGTTCCGAGAAAACTCTATGAAAGCGATTCCAGGATATTTGAGGTACTTAATGTACCTATATTCTGACGAAGTACATAATACGCCTCATAATGATAATGATGATGATGATGGCTTGGCAAATTTATAATACCCGTTTGATAATTTGAAAAGGTAATTAACTCGATGATCGTATGCTGTGAGAGGCATCATCGACATCGGTTGTAAGATACACAGTATTCACTTATTCGATAAGCAACTAGATTACCTAGGTCTTGCCAGCCATTTGGTAGAAATCCGAAGTCTTCACATGTAGATACATAACCTAAAGTAACGGAGTAATGGAGTAACTAGGGTCGGTTAAAAAAAGAGTGCCGTAGTTGAGATAACTCAGAATAACTAATACTTTATTATTCCTAATGTATTAGAGTATTCAAACAAAGAGGGGAAGTTTCTTCGAAGATAGCAACGACGGCAACCTTGCAACTAAGCGTAATCAGTATGACGGGTTTCTATAGATGACGAAAGCACTTGTAGCCTTCTCAGCGCAAAGCCTGCTTTTTGTCGCGTCGGCGGTACTGGGGCAGTTACCTATAACATGCTTCCTTTTGAGGCTCACGCACAATTAATGATGAAAAATGGCCGATCCCGATGGCACCTTGATGCTAGCTCTATTCAAGCTCTACTATATAATGTATTTAAAAACTATCAAATTTGATAGACAGGGTCCAGGGCTCTAACAACTTCAAACCCCACGAGGGGGTGGATTCCATGGGGTTTAGCAACAACTCAGCCATCCTTGCAAGGTATATATTCCATCCAGTTACCGTTAGGTAGCAATTCCATAATATTACCGTAGAAAACTGTACGCACTAGGTTATGCGGCCTCAATTCGGTCTATCTTACGGACATGAAAACTTCATCAGCCTGTAGACACGAAGCTTACCTGGCCCAACCGGTTAAGCAGGCCAGCCTGCTTGTCAGCTTCGCTAGCATAGGCCGCGGCCGCAATTCGATTGTGTACTCCCATTGGGAAAGCCAACACATAGCGGAACCATATCGAAGCAAATCCCGGTCAAGTCTGGACCGGTCGAGATGAGCTGCAAGTCAATCATCGGCGAGCTGATCGACAGAGATCGGCCCCGTCAATGTGCCTCTTTAAAAGATTTGTATCTATATATCTACCTATGTATTCGCAACCGGTAGAAAGGCTGGCGTGATCTGGCCTACAGTATTAGTACCTAGACTTCTACTACTTGCTAATTCTAATCTAGAAAAGTCTCTAGGAGGTTGGACCTTACTCTGAAACCACATCAAGGGCTATGTATGTTACTATTGTTTGCGTTTGGCACGGTTCAGTGCGCTTTCGGACTTGGGACCCTGTAAATTTTCATGTCTCGGCCCCGGTCCCTTCATCCCGAGGTTCTCGATCATCACGTAGGTATTAATTAGTACACGTATTAATTAGTACGTTAGAACGTAGCGCGAACGTGAGAACTATACGGTCCAAGATATTTTTACCTTGACCGACATTCTTACATGTTCGGCAGCTGAGTGATGCTGATGCTAATTGTCAGCATTTTATTATACAAAATCTTAAGAGCCTCTAGCAGCAATGCCGTACCACGTGTGTAGGTGTGTCTGGTATGTAAGACCTTCGCGGACTGTGCTCCATTTGCAAAACTGCCAAGCAGGTCGGGCTGCTAGTGCAACCCTATCCAATCTAATGATCTTCTCCGGGGTACAGGGGTCAAGTAAGCAGATATGATAGGTATGTCTGTCTGTATGTACATACATATGTCTAAGGCCGCACTACTCCGTCTCGAATAATAGCTGCTATTGGCTTCTACCAACTCTCACCCTTCGCTTATCGATGTCCTCCTGCCAAATACATAGTAGGCCAATTTGATACACACCTCGCTTCACGCAACAAACAAGCTTAACTCCAGTGCTCGTGAACGATACGATTCGAACCTAATCTCGAGAGATCAAGAGCGGGGTGAATTTTGGACCCCCAAGAATGCTAATACCTACCCCATCCGTACGTAGTAGAGACCAACTAACAAGGGTTGCAGTTTGAGGGGTTCCCAGGGCTGACCAAACCTATTAGTGGGCGATCTCTGCACATGCTCGTCCGTAGGTAGGAATGGATATATGGATGTTATGCATGGGAATTTGCGATTCGCAAGAGCAAATGTCTGTTCATCGATATACAATACCTACTTCATCCTTATACCGACCACTATTTCTGACGGCCGTATCAATAACGGTCTTACCGTCAGATATATATAAATCTGCGTTGTTGGCTCGTTTACAAGTGCCCACGTATGTACAACACAAATTCTGGGTGATGTGTAAATGTTGTGTATCCCCTGTGTATCTTATGTAGGTATGTGTTCCCATGTAATAAGTGCTGCTGCAGATACCCTAGAATGCCTTACTGGACCAGCTGGGCCTACCTAGTAATCGTCGGGTTACCATTCCAGTCCGAAGAGAGTAACATAACTATTATCCTATCTACCTAATTCTTGAATTTCTGTAAAAACTCCGTAGCAGTACAATATTTCACGGTAGGATTTGACGAAAGATTCCGTTAGGTGTCGCGAATACGACCGAGAAATATTTAGCAACACTATTCCAATTGTTGCTATTACGTAGGGTTCATTCGGCGGGAAGGAGGGTCAACTGATCGGCCACCAGCTCGGCTTGAGGCTGTCCTAAGACCAGATCCTGTGCCACAGCACCGCTAGGATCTATATCATGTGCGGAGCTGACGGCCTGGTAGATACCGTCACTTTTCCATCATTTGAATATTGTACAACCAAACCGTTTATTCGGCGTTTATACTAAAATAAGGTACACTATGCAACGAAGGAGACAGACACGCGTGATTTTCTCGGAACTCTGGAAATTTCTCGACAAAGTTGTAACATATTTTCGCGCATACTACATATTACAAGCAGGCTTTAGATACATTTCGTCATAGCGGATCCCGGCTGAGTTGCCAAGCCGCGTTGCATCCAGGCGGCATAATGGAACCGGCATGGCAAGTATCTCGATATCCGACTGGAAGCCTCTAGTCCAGTTTTTATTATGGATAACTATTATTCGTCGCCGCATTACTAGCCTATTCAAGCTATTAACGGATACTCCTGGGTAAGGTTAGAGGCACGGCGACGTAGTTTTAACCTTATCATCGCCTCTGCCTTCCAGTCTTCATTGACGTCATTGACGCCATTAACGTCCGGGGGCTTTGTGGGTCTCACAAGGATTCGTAGACGTAGACGTTAACAATTTGGTTGAAGAGCTTTAGTTGACGGGTTGGAATCAATTTGATCGGAAACGAAGCTATACGGTTAATTATGTTCAAGCATAAGTTATGACCTAGTTACAGCATAAACGAATTGGCTCCCCGTTCTTCAGTCCTTAAACAGTTGTTAAAGATGCAACATTACTCCAGCGCAGTCTGAAATGACATATGCTCTATATGTAAGATCAAACGCGTTAAGAGACATAAGTGTTAGGAGTAGCTAGTCCTATTTACCTATTTGTAGCTATTATTCATACTAGTCAATATTGAAATAACCCTGTTTCGCTTCTTTTCATTCGTCTCTGAAAGCAATCACATACTAATCAAGGATAACAAGTAATCAATTCAGTAGCGTCTGGGGAGAATCGGGAACAATGAGAGTATTGTCATCTATATATGTAACCTAGGTATGTAATAGTAACATTATATCTCACGTCAAGACTAATGGCCAACTACTATCTAATTCAAGATATCAACACTGTAGCATACACTGACACTGCTTTCTTGGAAAACATATATCGATACCTTAAGGCGTTATGTATGAGAACAGCAAGAATATGCCAATAATTTATACTGAGCAGAAGGAGTCATTTTCTACCAAGTATAAAGTTTCTAGCTTGCATTGAGAAAGCTATTGTAACATTCAAAACTATGAAATAGCTAGCGCTATTAGAATAGGTATAAACTTATGGAAGTTATACTAATAAGGGGAAAATACAAAACGGATACGTTAAGCACCTTTGATGAGATGTTACTAAGCTTATTGTAAATATAAACTATATTTATTATTACTCAAGAGAATGAGCCACACGAGTTAGATTATTAATTGTGCAACCCCGAAGCTACGATGTTGAGACATTAGATAGTTAAACAAAGGCATAACCTGTTTGAAGTCCCTTAAGAACTTAATCACACTTTTACGTGATAGATAGTAAGATTGAACTGGTGACTTATTCATACTTCGTTCGCAATCCCTTGATTAAACTCTGATGATATAAGTTGGGAGATATGAAACGAAGGAGGTAAGTTAAGTATGTAGAATCTAGTTGGTTTAAGTCGAAACTAAAATGCCTATCAAAAGAGTTAAACAACATTCTTATGTAAAATGCAACTGAGTTAAGTCAAGGCATAATAGGAGTAGGTACATCTCCGAAAATTATGAGCTAAAAATAGTTAAACAATTGTTAGTCTTTGGTTAATATATATATATTTAACTTTTTATAGTCTTAACTACGTTAAGCTATTTCATAACACCTTGTTTTAATTGTAGTTGACATATTTTGGTAATAACTTAAACAAGGCACTTTCATATGAAATTACAATTAAATCACCCGTGGCCAGCGAAAGTGGAAGGGTTTTCTATAAAATAATAAGTTGTATCCAGTGTTATATTAATTGTCTACCTCTTAATGATAGGCTATTAAGAGGTAGGTATCCGTCCGGGGGTGACGATATCCCTTACATGTGATGCGATAACCTACCTCTAAACATCATTGGTTGCATGTGAATCTATTTTCTCACGCAGTACCGATTCGGTGTCTTGTTCTTGCATATCATACATACCCATTCAACGGTGGCATTGCTATAACGTCATTGGATCATCGCATTTGCGGATACTTACCCAACGATTCGCGGAATGCAACTTTCCCGTTCGTGGTCGGGCGTCGCACGCTAGGGTACGTGCGGGCAAGCCAGTGTGGTGTAAATGTGATAGAGATGAAGTATTGCTTTTGCTTCTTCGCCAAGGTCTTGTCTTAGTCTAATAAGAAATTCTAGTCTGCACAATCGCAGGTGTTACTTGCTCTATATTCGTAAAACTCCTCTGAAATAAAGAGAGAAGCGTACCTGTTCGGAAGTACCTCGGATTCGTCCTCAATTGTCAACCAAATTCTTAATTAACACGTACTGCCTTTTGGGGTACAAAGAGTTAAGTTTACGAAAACAGATGTGAAATTAGAGATAACTATTTAGCTTTTACTTACGTCCTATTAGGAAATATATTTATGAAATGACATCTGTAGGCGTAACCGACAAGATGGACTCGCTTCCTAGGAAGGCCAAGCAGCGTTACTTCGTTGCGATGGCTGTCATGATGGTCTTGTCAACAGCTCTGGCGCTCGACGTCCTCTACCTGCGACCCGGGGCCCTATCAATGAGACAACAGGCCCTTGCGGTTCTATTGTTGCTTCTAGGTTGGTTTACACAAATGTCCTTGGGCGGGACGCATCGGTATTATGTGGAAATGATGCGGAATGGGTGTTCGCCTCCGCCTCTATTCCCGAATGATCCTTTCGGGGTACGCTTCCTCCTGAATGCAGCACAGCACATAAAGTCGAATACGCTACTCGCGGCCTGGAGCGGGCTCTTCCATACTCTAGGACATACGTTCAAGCATCGTGTATTCCCAGGTCCCGGTGACATGATCACGACTGATGAACCCGATAACGTGCGTGCCGTACTTAGTACCCAGTTCGACGACTGGGAAATACCCCAGCTACGTATTAACGCATTTCTCTCTGTGCTTGGCCACTATTCTGTAAGCTTCGTGCCTGAATCCTTTCGGTGCCCATCTTTGACTAAAATGGCTTCGCTATCAAGATTTTCACCTCCAATGGGGATGCCTGGAAGCGAGCAAGAACAACCCTGCGGCCGGCTTTTGTCCGTGATCAGGTTGCTGATCTACGATGCCTTGATCGTCACATTGCTAAACTTATACGAGCGATCCCGCGCGATGGTAGTCCCTTCGACTTGCAGGCTATGTTTTCTATGATGACTACTGACACTATATCGGACTTTATGTTTGGACGGTCGACTGACATTCTGGGGAATGCGCCCGAGGATGGTCTACGATTTGGCCGCTGCTTCGACGTGTCTATGCAGAAGATCGCTAACCGGGCTCGACTGGGCTGGGTATCAATGCTCTTTGGAGACCGTGAGCTAGATGAATGTACAATATTTATGCATTCATATGTAGAAAAGTATGTCGCAGAGGTAAGGGGCGAACAAGGTGAGAAGAACGAAGAAGAACGAGAGGGCAAGAGGTATATGTTCCTTAACGAGCTGCTCTGGACCGGGGAATCGGACGAAGTCATTCGCGACCATCTCATGAGCATATTCACGGCTGGTAGGGATACTACAACAAGTGTATTGTCATACCTATTTTTCGAACTTTCGCGACGGCCGGACGTGGTTGCTGCAATCCAGCGAGAGATGAAAGATCTAAGAATGGACGACCCAAGTCAGCTTCCAGCTTGGGAAAGTCTAAGAGCTATGAAGTACTTGAACTGGGCCGTTAAAGAAGCTCTACGACTTAACCCGCCCGTAGCAGCCAACACTCGTGAAGCCGTACGCGACACTATTTTACCTACTGGCGGCGGGCCTGACGGAAAGTCGCCCATTTTTGTAACCAAGGGCACGGTACTTAGATATTTATCTTGGGCTCTACACAGGCGGAAGGATATCTACGGTGATGATGCCGACGAGTTTCGTCCTGAACGCTGGGAGACTCTGAGAACTACGTATGTATTTGAATGAGCCATGTCTCTACATTGCTCGTCCAGTTTATAGCCTCATTGATTCTAACAATTTGCAGTTTTGAATATATCCCGTTTAACGCTGGTCCACGAATTTGTATCGGGCAACAATTTGCCTTGACCCAGATAGCGTTTGTTACGTTTCGGCTCTTACAGGCCTTCAAGAAGATCGAGCGGAAAGATGACAGGCCGCCCATCCAAAAGTTCGGTGTTAATACTTCTATGCTGTATGGATGTTGGGTTAGCATGACACCTGCATAAACTCAGAACGTTGCTGTTGTAGGACTTTGGTATATATAGAATGCCACCAGATTTTAGCTTCGGCCTTATAAGTGAAAGAGGATTTCTGATGAGAGCTTGCTTAGGTACTTTTTCTAAACTACCTAGGTACTCTAAGAAGGCTATAATATAATCAATAAATAAATGCACATACGCGTATGATGAGACAAATCTAGCCTGGCTCCTACTAGCTAGCATATAACGGTAGTTTCATTAAAATCGTAATATGTCGTATTCTAGACGATACATGAAAAAAAGCTCATACGCCAGGACCTCTTGCTTAACTTTTAAACCTAGAGCACACATTAATCCGTGCACTGCCTTTTGAATTTACCTCCGTGGATTCTTCCCTCCTAACCCTCCTTTCCCTCACTTATCCACCAGCAAGGGGACTTCTCACTCTAGGCCCCTAAATCTACGATTGAATTCTTCTACAGCTACAGCAACCATTCGGTACAAGAAAGCCCGTCCGCTCTCCTCACCGACAGGGATAAACGGCCCGTTAGTACCGCCGCGCAACACGATGCTGAGGCCTGTGCGCTCTTTCGCGATTGTCTGCACGTCCTTTAGCGGTATATCCCATTCGGTAGTAAGTCTTCGACTTCTAATGAGAAGAATTCGGCTGAACGTGACCATGACCACCATGTCTTCTCTGGGCAGGTCTAAGTGCGCGATGTAGTTCTCGTTGAAATATTTCCCATTATCCACCTGCTTGAGCCAAGACTGTCCTAAGGCTTCGCGCTGATTGTAAGGACGGACGATACCATCCGCGGGTATGAACCGCGTTAGGCGGACGCGGTCGAGCTCAGAACCGTCGAAGACGGTCGTGGTATTGCGAATACCTTCGGAAACATTAGATGCGAGGTCAAACACTCCGACGGCAGGCTTAGTCGCGAGACCAATAAAGCCTTTTCCAACACCTTTAAAGAAACCAACGGCCCCTTCCTGCTCCGCGCCTTCAAGAGGTTTCCGGGCAACGCCGCCGATGCCGGATGCAACCGAGGTGAAAAAGGAATTTGCACCAGCAGTAACACCGAATAAGGCATGCTTGGGTCGGTTGCGAGCTCGCGTAATACGCCGGCGATCTTGAAATTGCTTGTCGAGAGTCGCGGCGGCTAGGCCCTTGCCAAAACTTCCAGTGACTTTGGAAAAGGAATCGGAGAAACCGTAGACGGACTTTTTGACAAAGCTAGCGGCTCCTTTTGCAATTCCTATACCTAGGTCTTCGGGCTTATCAGACATGATAAGCCCCTGGTACGGCTCGTAGAAGACGTCGGTTATACCGCTACTGATACTGTTGAATAAACCGACGGGGTTGCCGAGGAAGTCAGCACTGCCGATGATCTTATGGACCTGGTATAGAACTTCTTGGCTGTAGTGATTCGAGATGTTCTGTGTCAAAACGGGGATGGAGACTCGGGCATTTTCTAATAATAATGCGTTCAACCGGATTGGGGCATCATTGACATTTCCAATGGCCATGGTCATCACGTTGACGAAGAACATGATAGGATTCCGAGAGGAGGTCTTGTCCTCTACGTTAACGCGTTCGGTACGCATGAAAGACAAATCTAATTGCATCGGCTGTATGTTTAGGACTTCAAAGTAAATGTCCTGGCCTGACTGTTCTTGCTTCGGCTCAGGAATATCTAGGCCTTCATCGCAGAGCTTACCCTCATTCGTTTCGGACCAGGAGGCTCCAGGGATCTTGGAGAAATCTAGAACGGCATAGATGAAATCCTCATCGAGATCAATGGTCATCTGCTGAAGTAGTACCGTGGCGTATTTGACGTACAGAACGCCATACGAGTCGTCCTTGACTCTTGTAACCATGGCATGTAATGAAGGGTGCAGCTCGGTCTCTCGTGCTTGCTTTGGGACTACACTAGGGTAGAGTATCATCGGGAAGAGGCCACCGTATAGCTGGTTATCAATCTGGATCCATTTGACGGATGTGCTGACGGTTTGGTAGAGAGCCGATTCACTATAACGAAGGTTGATGTCTCTGAATGTTATGTATGCCAATTCCTTCAACTGCTGATTGATAAGCGAGATACCAACCCCAGAAAGCTTTAACTGTGCCTGAAACGTGGTATCAGTATCCTGGCTCTTGACTTCAAAGCCACCGGCACTATTACTCGAGCCCGCCTGTGTCTTCTGGCGGTAAAGACTCTTGCTTGGCTTGAAATTAGACAAAATAAGCGTCTGAGTTGGTCCATCGGCAGCAACATTGATATCGATGATCTTTTGGGTACCAGAACCGCTGACGAATTTCATTGGGATCTGATTGCCAATTTCCGCTAGCTTTACGTGACGTTCTTTGCCAAATGCGCTGATGACCACTTCCTTGAACTTGGCGGCTGGAAAGTCCCAAGCATAGGGCATGATGCTACGTGGTGGCAAGCGGTATCTAACCGGCCTCCATCCGGAGCGATCCTCAACTCCATCCTCGTCTATATTTGGGTTTGCTTGATGGAAAGTGAACTCAACGTCACTTTCATTTCGCATGGAAAAAGGCCAGTTCTTTGTCTCCATGCTAAGGTGGAGAAAGATTGTCGCGTCCTCCATCAAAACTTCAACTCGAATGAGGCGTTGTCGCTGCCCGGCTCTTGCAATCTTGATATGCACAGTACCCAAATCCGATATGTTGATCGGTGAAGTCCACTGATCGTCGATTCCTGGGAATCTCAAAGCTATTTGTTTTGTAGCTGATCTTTGAAGCCAGTGAAGAGGCTGTAGACCCCCAGGATTCAGGGTCATAGTCTTCGACGAAGTTGGCTCTCTAATAACGAGCTCCTCGCCGATCTTATTTTTGACCACGAAGCGCGGTGCTAGAGTGACGACTTTCGTCAACTTGTATTTACCCTCACCGGGCTCCACAGTGACACCAACGTGGATTTCGGAATCCTTTTTGGACGACGGTAAAACAATTTCTGTTGTGCTCCCGATAGCATCGAAACTCTGCGGTTTACTCCAATCCGAGTCGCCTATTTTGAGGAGGGTTCGGTTGCGTTGGTCGTCATTGGCATACGAGAACATGAACGGTAAAGCTTTTGGCCGCTCTTGATCTGAGGTATCTGCTATGGCTGACTGACCCGCAGCCCTCTTCGGCTGCTGCAAGAACTGCTTGCCGCGGATGTCAACCTCCAACCCAGTCTTGTTGAGTACGACATAAGGGCTATACACGGTAACCTTGAAAGCACCACCCCCATCTGGGATCTTGAAATAGTGAAGCCTAAGGTAGAGAGAGAGGTCTTCGCTATCCTTGCATATTAGTTTATGTTCTTTACGAAAGTCTTCTTGTGCGCCAGAATTGATGATAGCAAATTCACTAGACTTGAATTTGGTATCTTGCATGTTGATACTCAGTAAAAGAAGATGAGACAGCTCCACTACGTGGACCGGACTAACACCACCCTTCCGTAGGAAGTTTGTCCAATCTCGTTTTGTATTTTTGTCGTAAATGCGGTATTTGAAATCGTAAGGAAGAAGGTTCTCTAGGACTACTGGAGGGGAGAGTTTTAATCTCATGTACGGGTATTTCCTGTAAATGTTAGCGTTGCAAGATGCATTATATTTGCGAGAAACTTACCCGGTGAGGAAGTGGCCTCGATCGAAGTTCGCGCTGAGTTGGAAAAAGAATGTATCACTATTGTCGCCTTTGCACATAAGTGTACGAGTGGGTCTCTTGAGCAGATCTCTCCACCATAAATGTTCGGATGACCATGCGTAACCAAAGCCCGAATCTGGTCGTATCAATAAGGATTGGACATAGGCGGCAGCTACTGGAGCAGGCCGGCTTTCTCCTGGTGCGATCTTCTCGATCTTAAGCAGGTGGCCTTCTTGGACATCGTACACGCCTAATTCAACTGGTATCTGTGTTTCATTTGTTACCACGAGAGGGGAGCGAAGCGTGACATATTTGATATTGTCTGAGCCAAGTTTTACTTCAACGAGTAGCCGATGGAGGGTATTATCCGTTTTAGGTCGCAAGCTGTAAAGGAACTCGCCTTCACGGTTAAGACGGATGTTTTTAACCATATCAAAACCACTGCCTTCAATTTCAACGGCAACGCTGCTCGCCGCATTGCTCTCTGACATGATATTTTCTCGCATCTTTTCCCAATGTTCGAAGCTCCATGGGCCTTCTTCGCCGTCTTGCAATTTGAGGGAGATGTTCTCATCGCTGCTCTGGCTCTTAGCCTGCACTGAGACGTCGAAGCCGGTATAGTTTCGGATCTTGTAGGGAGCCTCTACTCCGCGGGGTTTGCCTAACACATCTTCATCTTTAGTCAAAAATTCGAATGACTTGGACGCCAAGGCGATTGTTGCGGTTGTGACCGTAACATCAAATGTTCTTTTCGATGAGACATCAACTGAGAAGAGGCCGGTCTCCTGTTGTTTCGCAACGCCAAGACCTACTTGCCAGGGTTCCAAGAGTGGCTCCCAAGCAGACTTTGCGAAATTGTAGACGTTGATATACATATCAATCGCGGTCTCGGCTTTGAGATTACTAGACCAATCCGTTGATGATGCTTTGAATTTATTGATGCTCAGATCTAGGATCGGCAATTCGTGAACATCACCAATCAGCACAACACGAATTCCATCAATTGCAGCAGTAAGTTCCTCGTGGCGCTTAGGGGCTGTGTTAATATCGTGGGGTTGGTGGAGTTGGTCCTTCCCGGATTTCTTAGTGACTATCGTACCGGAAGTTTTGGCTGTTTTACTCCTGCCAGTAGCAATAGTAGAGTGTCCCCGACCACTTGCTGTACGTTCTTTAAGGCCGGCTTGTCTCAGCTGCTTTACTTTCCTGTTAGATGCACTGCTCTTAGGTTCGCTATCATCCTTCTCGGAAAGCTCAGATGCCTTGCTAATAATCTGGAGGACAAGGAGGATGTCTCGTAGTGAAAGCCGGAGAATTAGCGGATCAATATCAACATGGATATTTGTATAGTCCGCCCGTGAATTGTCCATTGATA